GAAACTGATTGGCTGTCGTTTTTTCAGTTGGAAATTTCGCACGCAAGAGCCAATCAGTTTTCTGTTTGCAATTCAAAATGATGACGACACCACAGGGTAGGTGCCACTAGCATAGTCTTGAGAAAATTTTGTCAAAATATCGATAAACATTTGCTTTTTTAGCATCCTTAAAATTAACGTTTGAAGTTAAAACTTCGGGAGAATGTATAGTCAAATTACCGGCGTTTAAACCGATGTAATTTTTATATTATTTTTATTTGTAATTTGCAAGATATTCAGGCCGTAGCAAACGTTGTAGTATATTTTAGTAAAAAAACCTTGCCAACCTTGTCATAATTATAGTAGACTCGTGTACACGCGCGAGCGCCACGAGAACGAAAACATGTCTGGGCTGGCTATGATCTGACGAGACTAGCGCTTTGAATAGAACTTCATGTTTTAACAATAATCCTGTTTTTTCATTTTGACCAACCAGATTCTTATACTGGTATACAAGTCTCAGCTTATTCTGCTATCAAATTGTTCCTTTCCTTCTGCAGAGGCGTTCAACCAAGAAATTATAGTCTGTTTATATCACAATAACAAGCCTTAAAAAAGCTAAAAGTATATATCTACTCGCAAAGAAATCCTGCAAATTTGAAGCAATAGGACGACTCGATTGACAACTATCACACGAAGTAAGCTTTAGGTCGACAAATTAAATAACCACGGCACAGCGCTCTGGCGTCGTATTAAAAGCTTCAAACCGGCTTTGTTTGATATCTTAAGTTTTCTCATCTCACGCATTGTTGGTTTCTAAAGCCACGTATTAACTTGCTGGACAATTACTAACCAGACCATCGTGTTTAACAAATAAGATGTGGAGTAACTTTATCGTAAGTTGTGTGGAATTACATCATGATGTGGTTTCTTTTAGAAATAAGAACTTTTATCATGTGAATTCAATTTTTCATCTTTAATGATCCTTTATGGTGGTTCGTTTAACCAAGTCGAAGGTAGGAAACATTAAAGACTGTTGATATTTAAACTTTAAAGAGGTGATGTAATATGCAAGATGAAAGAATTTATGCAATACTTCATATCGCTAGTCCAACACGAGATGAAATCAGTAAAATGAAATATTTACAAAAAGAAGTACACAACGCAACTCGCATCCTTCTTCCCTGGCTCAAATTAAAGCTATATACACATACCCATGCAAGCTTGATATAAAAATTAGACTATAACACAGAGTGTTTTAGAAAACTGCAACTGGCGTAATTTATCACTAATTGATCCAAAGGGTGCGTGAACACAATCCATGCTTGGATATTCCGTAATAGATAACTTTCACCGTACGACGAGAACGAACGAATATGCAGGAATTTTAATTACTTGTGCATAGAATTTTATGCTCGTTATGCACATATGAACGAGATAAGACAAATACGAACGAGAATACCGACAACATGAGACAATAAAATGGGCCATTGCATGTGTACCGAATAAATCTGAGTAATATGCATTAACTTTAAATGCCTTTGGCATATTAAATTACTATCTTCATAGTTCTTCTAGTTGTCAAACCACGTACACGCTATTTTTGACGTTACCAGGTATCTATGGTTAACTCTACAGAAGCTTATTTACAACTGGCCCTATAAAGGTATTTATCGCTGTATCCATATTCCCTATATTTGTGTTATTAAGCAAAGACAAAGTAGCTTTCATAAAAAAGGGTTGCCTTTCTTAGATACAAACATTGTAAAAGAGCAAAATTTTTGCTTGTAAGAAAAAGCTAAATTACACATGTTATATGTTCACCAAAATTCAATACTTTTAATCTTTGCTGTCATTATTCACGCATTCTAGCGCTTAGCCCAGTGCTACAGGGTTTTAGAACTTCTAACAATAGGCTAGTTTAATGACTCCGGATTCTTTACTTGTTTTCGAAAAAAACACGTATTTATAAATTGGCTATACAGTATATACTGATGTCCATGCTTTAACAGCTGTGCTTTTTTTGATTTGATCACATAACAAAAGCCAACCTCTGGGGAATGAGGATTTCACAATTCTTTCGTCGCGTTAATGATATTAATGATATTAATGAAGCTATTCGTTCGTTCTCGTGCTACGGTGAAAGTTGTAATATACAGATAATACAATATACATTAATAACTAATTATAATACTAAAATAGAGATGATTGACATTATGTTGACAGGACTAATTAAGGATGTAGATAGAACATAAGAGTATTGTAGTAGGGTTAAGAAATATACAAGAGTTAGAATAGAGGATAAATACTGAAAGAATATTACATTGGCGACGAGAATGGCAGAAGAAAACGTCCAAGAAGATAATACAAATGTACAAACAGTGACATCGTCTCTTTCGATACAACCCATAGCAGAATTCAACCCAGACATAGAAATCGGTGCTAGCTTAGCGACGCGATGGAACACATGGCTCGCAGACTTTGAAATGTTTCTACTCGCTAGTGGAATTCAAGATAAAAGGCGACAAAGAGCGCTTCTTCTTTATCAAGCTGGCTCGCGCATCCGTGAGATATTTCGACAGTTAAATGATACAGGCGATGACGATGACTATGAGCGTGCCAAAACAAAACTTACGGAATACTTTGAACCACAAAAAAATCGCCGCTACGAAGTATACAAATTTCGAGAAGCTAAGCAGGAACAATCGGAACTTTAGATCAATTCCATACCCGATTACGAAAGCTTTCTCAAACCTGTGGGTTCGCTGATGTTGACTTCGAAGTAGAACAACAGATAATAATGGCAGGGACTTCTTCAAGAATACGCAAGAAAGCCCTAAGGGATCCTGAGTACACACTCAAAGATATCCTTCTCGATGGCCGCAGGGATGAGCAAAGTAAATATCAAGCCCGAGACATAGAATCGAAGGACCAGAACAGCAACAGCATAGCCCCAATACAATCGACGCGAAGATGTCATTTTTGTGGCGGTTCATATCCCCATCAAGGCGTTTGCCCAGCGAAAGGGAAAAGTTGTCATAAATGCGGTAAGCAGAATCATTTTTCTAAAGTATGTCGCGGCAAGCCTAAACGAGACAATACTACACGAAATTACTATAAGAAACAAGAGGGAAAAACCAGCAAACGACACCTAAACCCTCTGAAACCCAATGAGAGCGATCGTTCAGACAGTACTGATGAAAATGAAGATTATTTATATTCTGTACGTAGTAAAAACACTCCCAAAGTCCGTGTTACTGTCTGCAAATCCTCTTTTGACGCGACAATAGATACTGGTGCAACAATTAATGTTATAGATAAGTATACGTATGAGAAAATGGACGGTGTAAAGTTGAGAAGTACAAACATTAAGGCATTTGCATACATCGCTGATAAACCAGTTAAATTCATTGGAAAATTCGAGGCATTAGTAGAGACACGTAAAAGAGTCACAGTCGCAACATTCTATGTAGCTAATAGCCCGGACAGTGGGAACCTTATATCTGCTTCGACTGCCCAAGAGCTTGGACTAATAAGTTTACATATACATGGTGTCACGAAAAACAATCGAGACGGAAAAATTGATCAGATTTTAAAGAAAAATGAGAGAGTTTTTCATGGTTTAGGCAAGTTAAAAGGTGAGCAGATAAAATTAAATATTGATTCGACACACCCACCAAAAGCGCAGCCACAAAGGCGTATCCCTTTTCACGTACGAGAAAAAGTGAAAGCCGAATTAGAACAGTTAGAGCGTAGTGACATTATTGAACGAGTACCAGAGTGACAACCAACCTCATGGGTTTCTCCCATAGTGATAGTCCCCAAAAAGGATGGCGGAGTGCGTCTGTGCGTTGACATGAGACAAGCAAATTCAGCGATTAACCGAGTTAGACACCCAATACCGACAGTAGAAGATATTCGACTTGAACTAAACGGTGCAAAATGGTTTTCAAAACTAGATCTTTCACAGGCGTACCATCAATTAGAGTTAGAAGAAAAAAGTCGTTATATCACAACTTTTAGCACTCATGAAGGACTATTTAGATACAAACGTTTGAATTACGGGACTAACGCAGCCGCAGAGATTTTTCAGTTCACTCTACAAGAACAATTACGAGGATTACAAGGCGTTAGGAACATTGCGGACGACATAATAATTTATGGGAAAACGAGACAAGAACATGATGAGAACTTAGATAAATGCTTACAGAGGCTTTACCACAAGGGATTGCGACTTAACAGATTAAAATGCACATTTCTAAATAAGAGCTTAGACTTTTTTGGACAAGTCTTTTCAGAAGGTGGAACGAAACCAGATCCCAAACGCGTAAAGGACTTACAAAATGCACCAACGCTCACAAATGTACACGATGTCCGAAGTTTATTAGGCATGGCCAATTACAGTAGTCGCTATATCGCAAACTTTGCCACAATAACAGCACCGTTACGTGAGTTGACAAAAAAAAAATACGAAATTTGAATGGCGAGACGTTCATCAGAAGGCATTCCAACAATTGACATCTGCACTATCAGCGAACGAGTGCATGGCATATTTTGACACTCAAAAGGACACATATATCACAGTAGATGCAAGTCCAGTAGGTATATCCGCTATTTTATCACAATCAACGCCAGGCAAAGATGATGAGAGAGTCGTAGCCTACGCCAGTCGGGCACTGACGGAAGTTGAAAAGCGATATGCACAAACAGAGCGTGAAGCCCTAGCAATCGTCTGGGGAATAGAACACTTCCATCTCTTCATATATGGTTCGCATTTCACATTAGTCACTGACCACAAGCCTCTTGAGGTCATATACGGCAACAGAAACGCAAAAGCATCTGCCCGTGTTGAGCGCTGGGTTCTGAGACTTCAACCTTATTCATTCAAAGTTATTTATAGACCAGGACGAACGAATCCTGCTGATTATCTCTCTAGGCACCCAGTAGAAACAAGCTTCGAACAGCAACGCATGACCGAAGAATATGTGAACTTTATCGCACTCAACAGCGTTCCGAAGACCATGACAATTGAAGAAATTATAAAAGCGACGGATGAAGACGAAGTGTTAAAAGGTGTTCGAGCAGCAATCAAACTAAATAAGTGGGACTACAACATTGTTAAACAGTTCAAGCAAATCAAAGACGAGCTGTCCGTTACAACGAAAGGAGTTATACTCCGTGGTGCCAGAATAGTAATTCCAGAAAGCCTTCAACAAAGAGCCATTGATATTGCTCATGATTGTCATATGGGACTAACAAAGACCAAGGCACTTTTAAGAGAAAAAATATGGTTTCCTAATATAGATCAATTAGTGAAAGACACCGTGGCGAAATGCATTCCATGTCAAGCGGTAGGAAAGCCAAAACCACCAGAACCTCTGTCTATGACGAGCATGCCAAAGGGACCTTGGGAAGTTATTCATGCCGATTTCTACGGTCCGTTACCATCTGGAGAATATCTTCTAGTAGTGATCGATAGGTACTCCAGGTATCCAGAAGTGGAAATCGTGTCGTCAACTAAAGCTTCAACGGTTATACCTAAGTTGGACAAAATGTTCGCAACGCATGGCATACCAGATACGTTAAAAACGGACAATGGCCCTCCTTTTAACGGAGAAGAATATCGACGATATGTTCGAGCGTTGGGAATTAAAGTATTATATTCCACACCATATTGGCCGCAAGGTAATAGCGAAGCCGAACGATTCATGCAGCCCTTAGGCAAAGCTTTAAGAACTGCTAAAGCCGAAGGAAGACCGTGGAGACAAGAGCTAAACAGGTTTCTACTTCAATACAGAACAACGCCACATTCGACTACCAAAGTACCACCGTCGGAGTTAATATTCAATCGTGTGGTAAAAGGCAAACTTCCAATGATCAGTAAACGTAACATTGTGAACAGACACAAACAAGCAAGAGAGAATGACAAGGCAGGACAAGAGTATAACAAGCAGTACGCAGACAATCGTCGGAAAACTAAACATCGTAACATCGCTGTCGGTGATTGTGTTTTGGTTAGACAGAGAAAACAAAACAAGCTGACAACAAATTTTGACACCACACCATATCGTGTTATAGGAACAAACAGATCGCAAGTTACAGCACAAAGTAAAGATGGACACAAAATAACAAGAAACGTGTCACACTTTAAACGTATCCCCGAAAAAAAAGTAGAGGTAGATACTGACGTCGATGACGAAGAGTATAAAGGAAAAGATGCAGAGAATGCGAAGGCAGGACAGAACAATTCTCAATCGACACCCGAAGTTCCAGTGAACATAGCTAGGAGATCAACGAGAGACAGAAGAGCACCGCAAAGATACGGTAACCCATTAATGTGGAAATAAACACTTTCTCAAAAAAGGGGAGTGATGTAATATACAGATAATACAATATATATTAATAACTAATTATAATACTAAAATAGAGATGATTGACATTATGTTGACAGGACTAATTAAGGATAGAGATAGAACAAGAGAGCATTGTAGAAGGGTTAAGAAATATACAAGAGTTAGAATAGAAGATACATACAGAAAGAATATTACAGCAGCCGAGATTATTTTTTGAAGTCAAGATTATTTTTTGCAGTCGAGACTATTTTTTGCAGTCGAGATTATTTTTACAGTCGAGATTACTTTTGCAGTCGAGAATATTTTTGCAGTCGAGAATATTTTTGTATTCGAGAATATTTTTACTGTCGAGATTATTTTTGCATTCGAGAATTGACAAGTCAAGACAAGACTGACAATTTAGTAATTTATTCTAGAATGATTTCGAAAAAATATGGCGAAGTATCTTTATCTCTTTATTGTTGCTTTCATAGAAATATTAAACGTCTCAAGTGTTATATATTGCGTACGATGAAGATTTGGAAAATCTGTTTTCATCATTACAGGATTGTGTAGAAAGGATAGATAGGAATGAGTTTCACGGTAATTTAAACTTCTTAGAGTATTTACGTCACCGTGTTGAAGGATATATTTGAATATATCAGTAACCCAATGGCGTGGCTAGAACGATAATTAAGGCGTGTTTACTCATTTATTCAATTTTACCCGATTTTGACCGAGCTAGATGGAAATTCAGCTGTCACTTTGACCATGCAGATGTATCTCAGCCGTTAATATTTTGAGCCCAGCGAACGCAAAAAATCAATTAAATTAGCACATATCAACGTACGTTATAATTTATTGTAGCTCTAATATATATTTGTCTATTTTAACTAATCATGCATGCATGCATACACTATTCCTAAATTCCTGTGCATCGTTTCCTTTATAAATTATGATACACTGTATTTTTATTTGTAAGATTTTATAATGTGCCGAATGTGGAAATGAATTGAATTTGAGAATTATGCTTTGAATCTCACTCTTATACCTTTTCGCCATCTTGAAAAAAAATGTAAACAAATTGCCGCGAAAATGACAGGTGAAGAATATCGTACGTCCAATGAAAAACCGTGTGAGCTTTGAAGATTGTGAGCGCGAGGACTACGGCGTAAAGACGCTAGTAAATAGTGCTCATGACATTTGAAATTTTACACAATTATTATAAATTTGTAGAAACATAATTACGTAATTTCTTAAGTAAGGATATAGTGAAAACAACGTTGGAGTTATTTTTTGTTAACTTGGTGTTTTCGTGCATTTGGTTACATTTTCAAGACTTGGTCGTTGATCATTGTCATTAGAGTGGTTACGCGCTCATTACGTTTAGCGTGAATACTTTCCATTATTACTTCTGCTGTGGATTCTGTGAGTGCCAACTTGTTTTATTATTTATTGAAAATGAGTCAAGAGTTTTGATTGGCCAGCAGCTGTTGGCGAAATCGTCATATCCGCTCGCCAGCTGCCCAAATTTGGACAGTGACGTCACTTCGTCGGATATGAAAAAAATTATTGCACGTTTGACGTCACTTCGTCAGATATGAAAAAAATTATTGCACGGTATGACGTCACGCTAATTTATGCGGCTTGTGCCAAAACCTAAAAGCGGGAAAATACGAATGTCTAAAAATGTCTACAACGCAAGCGTTTAGTCTAAGCCCAAAATTTTTGCAAATAAATAATAAAACAATTATTGAATTCGGTTCTCGCAGGATATGAGGAATTATCAAGGCCTCGGTTTGTGTTATCCGCCTCAGCCTTCGGCTTCGGCAGATAACACAAACCTCGGCCTTAATAATTCCTCATATCCTGCTCAACCTCATTCAATAATTGTTTAATATTATTACCTCGCGTGCGTAAGCACAGCGAGGTCTTAAATCCAGTAGCGTTATTTTCCTATGGGGTCGAGAAATTTACAACACCTCGCGGGCGTACCCAACGATCGGGCATTGCGGGAAACGATCGGGCAGCGCATGCGCCATACGATCGCATATGCTCGACAGTCGACGGAGCAACGTTCGATAAATCGATGAAGACGATATAGCTTAAATAGCTTAGCTTCGATTTGTTACGATGATTCTCATTAAAATAATAGAGAACTGATTCCGGTCCGGTGTAGATTAATTTCGGACGTTAGAGTCCGACTTTTTTAAAATTCCAATAACTCTGCGAATGCGCGAGCAAAAAACACATAAATACCACCAAAATATAGCTCGAGAAAAATACTATAACCCAATTGCTTCTGTTTTAATCCGGAAATTAATAAATATTTCTGTTAACCTGACACGGCAGTGCAGCTGTCAAAATCATATCAAATTACAAGGTGATGACAACCGGAAATATAACTCGCCTTTGGAATTTGGTTATTTTCTTCCTTATTTTTTATCCTTTCGTATTTTGACCGTTATATATAAACTAGAAATGCTTTAGTTATCTTTTCTGATAGTTTTTAAGTCAGGATGGGCAGAAAAACTCGAAAAATATCGATTTTTCTGATTTGTTATTGTTTGTAGCGAGACCACTGATATAGCTCAGTGAGCAAGACGTGTTGCTCAGCGCACGCACATGCAGTTGTCGCGTGAGGTTAGAGGTGTCAAAAACTTAACGTTGCCTACCCTCTAGGGGTAAAATAAGCCTGGAAATCGATTCCTGGGGTAAAAATGTCCCTAGAAGTCATATATTCGGCCTTTTTAGAACGAAAATTTTCCGATTTTTTTTCAAATTTTCGCCAATATGGTGATAATTATATGCAAATTTTCGGGTTTTCCGTTTGTAAACACGTTTGTTGGAAATATCACTACAAATCGCCAAAACGACTGTATTTCAAGCAAAATAGATGGAAATATTGATCACAATGTAAGCTACAAACATTTGGAGGTTTTTAGGCGAGATTTCTGGAAGGCTTTGCGTATTTTCGCTTCTCTAAAATTCAATTTCAAAATTACAAGATCGGCAATAAATATCTTGGCTTATAGGAAAGCTCTTGAAATGAACTAAACTTATACAAATAGATAAATGTTTTAACTTTAAGACAATACAATTTCCAGTTGATTTGATAAAATTCTTGCAGATAAAATCGAAATTATCTGCGTGCGTCGTTTACGACCGGACGGCAATGAGTTGACAATTATCGTCAAAATAAGGGGGTGAGGGTATGCTGGTGGAGCCACGCGAGGTTAATGCCTAGCGGGCATCTTGTTGCGTTCGACGAAGGAGAACGCTTCCTAATCGTGACGTCACGGCTGGATGCTATGTCATTTCGAGATTTTTGGATGTAACATTTGCCTCGGTTTCGTGTTTTTGCGTATGCTCTGATTTCCGGGTTTTGTGCCGTGTCCTAATGTCACGTGCTTTCCGTATTTTGCGATAATACGCTGTTGTTTATAGGACCGGGCATTTGGCTTTCATATTCGCCTGTTTATTAAGAAGTCATGGGAATTGTACACTCGATTATTTTGATTTGAAGTGTCTGCAATATGACTGAGAATTCTCGTCAAAGCATCAGCAAGCTATCTTCCGTCGGTTTAACCATGCGAGATCCGGAATTTTATTTGCTCATAAAGTAAACAAACCGCGTTTACTTGATTACTTCTTTGAAGATTCACAGCTGACTTTAATTCGCATTGCCTTAAGATTTAGATCCACATCAAGGATATCTATAGAAGACCACCGAACGCACTTGCTAATCTTTGATTACTTCTAGTTTATCATATTTTGTCTATCACTATCTATCACGTTTCTACTGAACCTGCTCTTGCTCCTTTAACTGGCGAAGCACTTCCATTCAGTGCTATAATTCAGGTAATTCTGATTGGCTTTGCCTGAAAAATGTAAACAAATATTCCGATTAGTTCAAAACAAAATTCCTCTTTGTTGCCGACAACGCCAGCGTGGACATAGATGCGAGAGCTTTCTGGCAGAGATGTAAAAAAGCATTTTTTGATGCAGGGTGTTTAATCCTTATGCTTCGACACATTGAAAGCACGCTTGAAGACGTGATTGAATTGAACTCTGCTACGACTGTGGAATGGTCGATGTCTGGCTTTCTGTACTGTTCGTTATTTTTTGCCTTATATTCTCAGTTAAAATAAGAAACACATTACTTGCAAAACCGGGCTGCAAATGACTTAACGCCTGCAAGGCAGCAGCTAAACAAATGCATTATAAAGTCGTTCGCCATATTGGTTTGGGACTTGCGAGAACGTTCAACGTCGTCACGTCGACCACACGCACAGAATTTTTAATTAGAACGTATACGATATGTGTAGCCTCTAAAGAACTGGCGGCAATAAAGAAAAGCCTTAGCAAACAAAAATGTGAAAGTTGTGTTTATTGTCATTATTTGCTTCACTTTAACTTCTCTATTCCTCCACTGATATTAAAACACATTGGCTGTTTTCACACTAGAGACGCATAATGCGTCTTTTTTTGGACTAATTATTCGTCTTCAGTATAAAGACGCATTATCCGTCTAGACGAACTAGTGTTAGTTATGCGTCTCTAAAGACGGATTTCCACTTACAGCGAAATTGTTCGCTAGCGAAATATTTGCATATTTTCTTTTGAATTAAGAACAGTCAAGTCGCACTAATTTATTTATGCTGTTAAAATTCAAAAGAAAATATGCAAATATTTCGCTAGCGAACGATTTCGCTGTAAGTGGAAATCCGCCTTAAGACAAAAAACTGAGCATTAATCGTCTCGACGTTTAATGGTTACATATGGGAGACCATTTTCATACGAAATGCTCCGGAAAATGAATCGCTGTATTGCAAAATAAAATTGTGATTATCTATGTTCACAAAATCAGAGAAATCAGTTAACAATTAATAACTTTCATTTATTGCCAGATAATACCATACAAACTGTTTTTAAAGTTGGGTTTACTGTTTAGAATTGACTGATCATCCCAAATATTCACTGATTTAATTTCCATGTTAACAATTGGATATTTAAGGTTAATGCACTCTGTGAGTGCACTATCGGGTTTTACATGCACGAGTTCACAATAAGGAACGAGATTTTGAATACTACACGAGGCAAAGCCGAGTGCAGTATTGAACTTCTCGTTCCTTGTTTGTGAACTCGTCCATGTAAAACCCGATAATGCACAAACAAAGTGTTAAAACAACCCCTTTTTTGTATGATTCTATCCGCGGGATCGTCGGGGCCGTATGAGGGACAGCTCAGATAATATCAATACAATTTCCTTCTCTTTTCTTATATATTTATTTTGTTGTCGTGCCCCAGACCAAGTCATCAACCTTCTCTCTTAACCTTCTCTCTTAACCTTCTCTTTTAACCAGTGCGACCCGTGATATTTTATACTCTAAACTATAGTGCGTTATTGTGCATTGTTCATTGTTCATTGTGCATAGTGCAAAGTGCAAAGTGTTGTCATTTCCATGTGTCCATCACGTACGAAACCCTTGGGTGCATATAACAACAATTTCCCTTATATTACAAAAGAGTGCTTTAATGCTTTTAATATTCATTTTGAGTAAACTCGTAAAGACTTTATATCATTTTTAAACTTAAATGCTTACCTTTGAATACTAAAACAACTCAAGCCGGTTTGCTCGTTTAGTATTTTTCTGTGTGGATTCATCTATATAATTACATTAATTTCCTCTTAACTAAGTACAAATCGACCAATCAGAACGTAAGTTTACAAAAAATGAATATTAAAATAGTATAACATTTTCAACATACCACAAGTAACAATTCACTATTTTTTTGCTTTTTATTTAATTGAAATGTGACGAATATTTGCTAATGAGAATTTTGACGGGAATATCGCGTCATATCGGCGCCTCATACGTTAAAGCTACGCCCTTGAATTGTGTCATCGCAAAACGGTTAAAATTACCGTGACAACTATTCATATTTAATGGTCTACCTGAATCCGCAGCAATGCAATCCCCTGGGGTTAGTAGTTGCGCAAGAGTCTGGATTCTGCACATGGAGTAGCACTTATGCGGGTTTTCCCTTTAACCTGATGGCAACAGTCTGTGTTTAAAACTTGATGTTTAAGAAACCGCTCCACTTTTCTGTGTTTTAAAATTTGTTCTGCCTCTGTCCAAAATCATATGATATGGCAAATCCCGTTTGTCTTGGAGATAATTTTTAACAGCATGTTTGGACCTGCATATCCCCATTAGTATTCAAGCTATTCAATTACATTAATTGTGAGTGGTTGTCTAACATATTTTAAACCCATCTTGGTATGCTTGGTTAAGGTAGAGACTTTGAAACTGGATAATTGAAAAGCTTTGGCCTTTGTATATCGTATTTGGAAATAATTTGAAAATAATAATTACTAAATAAATTTGATGTATGCATACATTATTTGTACTTTTGAAAGTATTTTGTTCACCTTTCTGGCCTTTTTTCCCTCCAGGGCTATTAATTTGTATGCGAATAACTTCCTGCCATTTTGTTTACTTTACTATCTTAATACTGCAGTACAATTAATTATGATTTACGGCACTTGCCTCATCAGGTAAATTCCAGAGGTTCAAAGGGTCTTTTATTTCGAGTGGAACTATAGAAACTTCAAATTGAAGGCAGATCAGTTCATGGAAAAATGAGTCAATTATAGGTCCTCCGACAGGAATCGAACCTACGCTAGAGAGAATACAATTAAAGACAGTAACTCTGCCCCTAACATCCCCTTTATCATGCTAATGATGAGCTTATTATATTATATATCGAATAACAATATAGGTATACCGGATTAAGGGGTTAAATGTCACGGAAATAAAACCACCGAAGCATTTCCCAGTATCTTCGTCTCGGCTTCCGCATTCACTCGCATTCACGAATTCTTAAAATTTATCTCAGGATTAAAAGGTATTTTCTTTCAAATTCCGATTGAAGATGTTGCGAAGATGTCTTCACTTTGTTACGTTGCTTGCTACTTTTCTTTCTCTGCGAGGTAAGTTGCATAACTTGGTTTGAAATGAAGTTAACACGTCCAGACAGCCAGGAATACAATCCATCGCATTAATCGCTACTCTGGTTTTAAATTATGAAAGTAGTCAAAGATTACATTTGTATTCTTTGGTTGTTCAATGTAATCTTTGAATGTAGTGCTGGTAACGGACTGGTTTAAGTGTTTTAAAAGAGATGCGATTATCTGGCTAAATTAGTCCGGAAAGATAGTTTGCATTGTGTAATAACTCATATGATATCATTTGCGCGCAAGTGAATTGCTCGCCCTTATTATGTCCGTTTCGACTTGCAAGTTATGTTGTTCATAATGTAAATGCAACATTTAGCACACAATCCATCCTTACCGATGTTAAAAAGTCCAATTAGAAATTTCTCCTTATTCTTTGTCTGTTAATTGACTTGCGTCATTGTTGTCTGCAAACACATTGCAATATTCTAATATATCGACCTCCTTTACTTAGAGATCACGGACAATTCTAGCATTAAAGTAGTGCAATGACATCTTTTTTTTGAGTGTCATCAAAATAGCAGCCTGTTTCATCGAAGTAAAACGCGCGAGGCGACATTTTACTTTCGTTTCAGAGCTCTCTCAAATACGATGGAATAAACCGCTTCGGAAGATGGTTGATGCCCGCGTTTACACTTGCAATTTTAGTCGCGATTTTCTGCGCAATTTTCTTCTTTTGGTCATGGCCAGAAACGCAGGCCAATTTGCATGACAAGCATGGGTGACTTCGCGCCAATTTGAAAAAGTATGGTCTTTAGTTGCGTTGATCGTAAGTTGGTCTATTATGCGAAAGGTTCATTGCCGGAGAAGGCACGTTCGTCCACGTCCAAAACATTATCAATTTTATCGATCTTTAACAACTGAAAATTTGAGGAAAAGTCAGGCAACGGCAAATGTGAAATGACCACGTCCGGTTGGTTCGCAAAGACTCTAACTTTATTTACATCACATTTTAGAAACTTAAAAAGACGCGTAAATGTGTTCCTCAACGCGATGAAGTTCGCCAAATCATTTTCGTAGAGTGATTTTTGATCGCCATTATTTTCTTTTAGCTGTTGCTATGATACAATGCAAAAATAAATATATTAAATATTCAACAATATTTCAATATTAAGTATTCGAACGAAGTGGCGTCGCCAGCAACGATAAGTGGGTCATTTTTTATATCACTATCTACTATATTAATTTCTTATATTGTGTTTGTTTATAATCGGGTTTATAATCGGGTCGTGGTTCTGCAGGTAAGCCAATGAGCGTTTAGTTAATATCTCAAAAAAGATGACGTTTCCTTAGGCGGAGTGACCCTCGGATAGTTTTCTCAAAATTCCGTATGAATTCTTGTTTTATTTCGCTAATTTGAAGGCTTTAGATGTTGTTTAAAAACATGGAAACTGCAGGATAATGTAGTTTAATCATCGGTAATCATTAGGTTGTAGTTTTTGTGGCGTTTCTTCAAGTAATTTTTTAGAAAATCATACATTTATGAAGGTATATCTGTCATATTTTGATAAACTCTTTCCTACCTTGTCATAATATATAGACGAAGTAAACAACGTAAGCGCGACACGCGCGCGAGTATCACACGCGCAAGTCAAAGTCTGGGCTGCCTATGGTTGTATCTGAATTAAATGGTGTAGCTAGTTGATAAAATAAAAACAATCGCCATATGGCATATTATCTTTCTGGAATCGAGCGACACTGATCTAGATAATGAACTGAAAACCGAGCCGCATGAGCCCACACACCTAACCGCTTACCAGCCTGCATTTGTGGCCATGTATATATTTTCAACCGATCAATAAAGTTTCAAAACATGGAAAAGATGAATTTGGGACCGTGGAAAAGGTGACCGGTTGACCGCGTCCGCTTATAATAAAGGCGACCGTTCAATAAAGAATAGTCACCGTTGAATAGTATTTACCATTCCGAAAATTTTGGGACTTTGTCACATGGCCACCCAAAAAAGGGTGAGTTCTGTATTAACCTTTGCCGCGTGCATGGTAAAGCACCGGTAACATAGTAGAAATCATGGTGCAGCTTTAGCAACTCTTTTTTTGTTAAGGGTACTTTTTGGGGCACACTGTATTGGGTGTAGTGTGAACGGGATTTCATTTAGGTTTAATTACTTTGAGAAAGCACATTGTAGTTTTGCATCGTTTTCCTCTTTTCGCAGGTGTTGTTTGTTTCTTCGTAAGATTTTGGGATGGTTACAGTGGAGTTCCGATGTGTATCAATGACACAGGTATTATACAGTCAAACGGCAGTTGGGGAAATTTATCCTTTCTGGCACTTTCTGACGACAGTTGTCTTCACCTGACAGCTCAGTTTCGGTTTCGAGAAAATGGCGCCATGTTGAATTTGAATAGACAAGGCTGTCTTGCCGGTGGTTCTTTGTCTGGTTCTGGTTTTAATCTTGATTTGCTTTATCTTTACGTCGACTCAGTAAGCCTGGACACAGCTGCTTGTGCTCAAAATCCCAACAATGGAATCTATCGTGCTATAAACCAGACAACATGGGGAGCATTATCTGTTTATTATAAAGGGTATGGCAAGAGTTTATTTGAAACTTGGTGTGCATCCTATGAATATAACAATCAACTTCACAGAAAATACGGAATCAGTCAACACGTTGGGTTGAGTACAAGTTGTGACACCTGGAACCAAAGATTTATTCTTGGTAGGTCTTTTGCTTGAAATTTGCTTGCTTAAAAATGCTTGCTTGATATGAAGAAACTTAAAAGAAACTTTCAAAGCAGTTCAAAAAAAAATCGTCTACCAATGTTGCAGAGTTCGGCGTGGATACATATGATCATTATTTGAATTTTTGGCGAAATTCCTCATCAGGTGATACCTCAGATGGCACTGCAAGCTTCTTAGTGTCCCGAGATTTAGGCATGTGGACGTGGTATTAATATTTTCCGTCCTGCCGTTTTGAGTTCAGAAATCATTGGTTTCAAAAAAGACTTATCGACTTTTACAGAACCTAGTGTAATATTTCTTCAACTGATCAATGTTTTGAAAGGGAAATGTCAATTTTCCTGTGACATGTATATGATATCTATATAGACGGACAAACATCGTTAAGTGCATGAAAGGGGGGCCAACACAACGGCCGTATCTTTTTAAGGAATCAAAGTTTGCCCTCAAATTTTTGTGAAAAAAATGGCAAAAATACGACAAGATTCTTACCTTTTCTGGAAGTTAAGTTACTCATTAATAATCAGTGTTATGGTAAATTATTTTGATTATTAATTACCATAAAATATAACCATAGGTAGCCCAACACTCGTGTTCCGCGCGCGTACACGCTACTCATGCAGTGATCAGCATATATTAATTTATCCTAACGTTGGCAACTTTATCACCAATTATCAATAATATATCACATACATACATGTCAAACTTCGATAAAAACTGAAAAACTACCACAAAATACTGCAAAATTAATAAATATAAATGAACTTGGATATATTTTCTAAATTCCGACATAGTTTTTAGCTTCAAACTGTATTGAGAAATTCAGAAATTTGTTCATTTAAAATAAAGTTTTTGAAAATACATTGTCGAAATTTTATTGTCGATAGGCGGGATCCAATTTACCCTACATTACGTCACCTTCGGAGAAATCCCGAGTCAATCCTGTTTATCCTATTGGCTGCTGAAAAGTCGAAAAATTTCCGAAGATTGCCCTATGAGAGAGCAGCCAATAGGATTGACTCCGGATATCTCCGAAGGTGACGTAATGTAGGGTAAATTGGATCCCGCCCATCGACAAGAAAACTTCGACAGTGTATTTTCAAAAACTTTATTTTAAATTAACAAATTTCCGTATTTCCCAATCCATTTTGAAGCTAAAAACTATGTCAGAATTTAGAAAATATATTCAAGTTCATTTATATTTATTAATTTTGCAGTATTTTGTGGTAGTTTTCCAGTTTTTATCGAAGTTTGACATGTATGTATTTGAAATATTATTGATAATTGGTGATAAAGTTGCCAACCTTACGATAAATTAATATATGCTGATCACTGAGCAGCGTGTACGCGCGCGGAACACGAGTATTGGGCTACCTATGATATAACATCAGACGTCTCATACAACTTCCGAAATTTATGTTTCGCCTCGACTGGTTTTTGCACGCGAATATTTTTGATTTTCTTTTCTTTTTGTCATTATGAAAACGGAGTTTATAAATGAAATTATAATGTCGTATATCACGTAACACATTCAAATTTATAGGAAAATATTTTTGAGAATATTAAAGTTGTGTTCACCACAAAAGAATTTAATACTTTTTAAAGGTTTGCCGGATGAAATATTATCAAGTGTATAAATATCTTCCAACTTCATCATACACGGTGAATTCCGTCGAAAATTTGATCTTATCATTTGTTAAATCGTGAAAAGTCCTGACAACATTCGAATTTCCCTCTAATTTAATTAAAAATACATATATTCCATATTTATGAAAATATAAATTTATAAATTTCATCAAAATTTTGCGAAATGACAGTTATTCATTGACGTTTGAAAATACAATTTTTTTTGACTCGACCAATCAAGAGCTTAGTAAGTTCACACTGGCGCATGCGCATAACGTAGAAGACCGTCCATGGTGTGAAGTCCATTGCATATTGGCGGATGACTTTGATTTCGCATTTGCACATCGTGGGTGTAAATATCCGAGCGGAATTAGTACGCACGGCTCGGGGGAAAAACCTGCGTAGTATCGCTTTTTTTCAGTCTATTGAGCATGCACAAAGAGGATTTGTGAAAACAAGTAGTTACTTTGCATATATTGTTTTAATAAAGATAAATTTTCCGGTCGAATTTTATGAAAAAAAAAATCATACCCGTAGCTAGAAGATTATTTGGGGGGGGGGGTAGTGACTGCATATTCATATATCCGTCTTATGCCGGGTGAAGCGGTCTTTCTACGGCCCTTGAAACATTTCTATACCTTAATAAAGGTTCCGTGACGTGCTATGGTGATATGGTGAAGAATGCAAACTGTCCTAGGAATCAGTACATGGTGGTCAAGATTGCCTCTTTCCGTGGATTACTTGCAACAAAGACTTGTGGTTTGAGTTTAACTGATTACAGTTGTGAACTGGATGTGACATGTCTTGTAAAGAAACAATGTGATGGTCTACATGAGTGCAGTATACGTGTGGATGAAACATTGTTCTCAAGTAGCGGATGTCCTGGTTTGAAAACGTATCTTTATTTTGAATATCATTGTACAGATACTGTGAAAACCTTCAAAGGGCCTTGTAGTAAGTTTTTCCTTTGTCAATGACACGCTTTTAGCAAATTATGTAAAAATTCCTCTCCTCGTTCTCCCAAAAAATGGGGGAACCAAAAATGAAAGGCGATACTATATATATATATTTATATATATATATATATATATATATATATTTATATATATATATTATATTTATATATATTTATATATATATATATATTATATATTATATTTATATTATTATATGTGGCGAAAACTGATTCAATAATTGTTTTATTATGTATTCCCTTTTTAGAGAAGAAGCCTTCACCATTATTGACAAATAACTATAGCGGCAAAAATTACGTCAGCTACGGATAATTTTCAATGTGGTGTACGTGGCAAGACATTGAGAATTATCTGTAGGTTTTTAGCCAATCACAATCGAGATTGCATTAGTGTATAAAAAAACTCGAATCGAAATTTTGCGTGTAATAATGCAAAACATAGTTGACAAATTTGGTTAATTTTTTCACCATTGTTAAGTTCATTTATTTCTCTTGCGAATGACACGTTCACGTTGTACGTGTAATTTAGTTGAAAAATGAAGTACTGGTCCGACAAAAAAGTTCATAAAACTCCGCCGATGGAAACTGGACGTTTGTTTTATTGAAAATTAGTTCCAAAGGGCTTTAAAATCTAAATATTACTGAAAAAAACCCCGCAAATTTATCGCAAAAATTCTGCTTATTCATTGTTCAACGATAGAAGTTTGAATAATACAATGCCTCGATCCATTAAGCACGGATAACAACATTTATTGTAAAAACATTTTATGTTACATAGCTAAATTTTGCTAATAACAGTTTGTCGATTTAATTAAATTTGCATTTTCTTTTGTCTGGCGGTCTCATTTCGAATTCCCCTCGGCGGAAGAATTTGATTTCGAGCAACAATTTTTAAAAGACATAAGACATAAGATATAAGAACGGTATAATCTTTGTTGCCATGCTTATAAAAATTATATCGTTTACTTTAGTATTTTATACACAGCAGCCTCTCAAAGTTAGCTAGATTCGAATTTTTTTTATACACACTGTATAATTATTGTATGAGACAAGTATTTTCCTTCATATTTTAAAAAGAACAAGACAAAAAAGAGTAAAAATCCTTTTCTTTGAATCTACTAGATCTGGGTACTCTATTTTCCAACTGTTGTATATGTTAATTCAACTACGCCTTTCAAACTTTAATCTGTTTCGGCTTTGGAGTCTATGCGAGGCTATTTTTTTTTCGTTGCTGCTTTGGCATTGCTTGAGCACTGCATGTTAGTCCTTTATTTCGTAGACACTTTTTTAGCATCGGAGTATTTTTAAAGATTTATTTCTCTTCGGTTTGCTTAGGGCTATATGTCGTTTAATACTTTTGTATTTTACGTTTCCTAACATTAGCTGTTCTGTACTTTTAAAGTAAAGATCTGAATTTTTTGGTGTTATTGTCCATATAAAGCCCCGTGCACGGGCACGATTTCCTTGACAAGTTTTCTTGACCAGTTCAGTTGCTGGTATGACTAGCTTTTGAACAAGGCTCCTTGTCAAAAAAAACTTGGCAAGGAAAACATGTAAAGGAAAACTTGCCCGTCTGTACGTGGCTTAATACTCACCAATTTTCTATTTGGTTTTTTCTTGTAGTTCATGATGTGTCCTTATCACATTCATATCTACCTTTCAAAGGTGTTGTCCAAATTAGCACTGACAGTGGAACAATGGATGTTTGCTGGAAGAGTTTAAAGAAGTACCCAGATGCGCATATGCTATGCCGTAGTCTTGGTTACGACGATCTAAATTCATTTGTTAATGTGTCTGTCCCAGCGAATTCCAAACATGCTGTTTTTTCGGGAACATTTACCTGTAGTGATCAAGAAAAATCTTTATCCCAGTGTTTGATTGTTGCTTCCAATCAGACCTGTTCCGAGCTAACATACATCGAATGTAGTTTTCATGATTGTAAGAGGAATGCTTTTGAATTAACATAGAGTTGGAAAAAGAATAAAAAATATGAACCAACATTGACAGATGCATGTCACGAACATACAATTACACAAAGTTCTGTTTCAGACGACGAAGTTTTCATGTGCCGAACCTAATGTTAATTAATAACCTGAAGTCTTTGTTTAAATTTTTTCGGCACATGAAATGTATGTTCGGCTTCTGAAACGGGCCAAAGGCTCCACAAAATGCCCCAACTAATACAATTGTTAATTAAAATATGGAATACTAAGATTCTTTGTTCCCCTTTCAGATTATATCTTCTGGGACAACTTTAGTCCATTGTTAGCTACAGATAAAAAAAGATTTCCCGATTCATCATTTTCTGCTTCTGCTTCTGTGAAAGGTCACAATCCTTTCGATGCAAGAATATCTAGCGGAAGTTCTTGGTGTGCTCCTGTTTCGGATGCAAAGCATTATCTTCAGGTGGACCTGGGAACGCTGTATTGGTTATTTCATTTGATAACGTATGGTGATAGCAATAGTCCAAAATGGGTCGCCACGTACAACTTAAATCATACTTCTGATTTGGTCAGCTGGAAAGCGTATAGCTCCAGGGTGAGAAATAATACTGTTACTAACAATAAGGTAATGTTATATATATACAAGCCTGTCGAGAAAATCCTGTTTCCTTTTTCTTTCCTGCAGATATTTCAAGGAAATAAAAATGCTTACCATCATGCAGCTAACGCTGAACGGTATTTTTTCTACCTGGATACAAGAGCTTTACGATTTATTCCCTTAGCATATGTTGGTCAGCCATGCATGAGAGTTGATACTAGTGGATACGGTAAGTTTTTACACAGAGTGTACTATTTGTATTGCACCTTTAAAAATTTATCTCGTTCTTTTATCCCAAGCTGTGCTTCCATTCAAACCAGAAAATTTAACAGCCAATAACATCACGTCTCGAAGTGTTGACGTATCTTGGCTAGATCCTGAAAATCCTAATGATGGAGGTTCATGGGAGCGACGTGTTTCTCGATTTTTCATTATTCTCACGAAAGATAACTCGCCTATTCTAAATATCACCACGAATAAATCTGTTCATAAATATGAAATAGACAGTCTTATTCCGTTCACTACGTATGAAATATCGGTTTCTGCTGGTAATCGCAATGGTTACGGTAGAAAGGCAATTATTCTGTTCTCAACATCCGAAGAAGGTATGTATTGGATGATAAATAACCTTTATGTACTGCATGGATGTTAAATAGAGTATATGACTTTAGATTAGAAATAAGTCAACGATTATGTGAACGTTTCATAATGTTTTGCAAAATGATAATTAAATTGTTTTCATTAGAGTAAATAAGATACAAACCCTTTTCATGTTACGCGCACGAAATATTTTCTCTTTGAACCCATTCCGTAACCGCCACCCTCGCACTTCAGGCTAGTCTCTAGTCCTCTTTAACGCGTTTTGCATTGTTGTGACGTCACCAGTTTGAACGCGGGAAAGAGGACTGGCACAAAATGTTTTTTTAATTCTTAATTCAAATAGCGGCTAGAAAATTTTTCTTAAGCAACACTATTCTCAAAATATTTGCATCAGGGACAAAATCAGGGAAAATTTTTGAAATCTCAACATTTTGTCCTTAGCCTCTCAGCGTGGGCTTTCCCTGCATAATTAACAACGCGCGCTTACAATGCCTGGCACTAGGCTGCTTGCACCGAATACATGAATAAATCCACCCTCCCCAATTATCGTTCTAATTACGCCACTGATTGAAGAGTGCCACTTGCTAGGATTTAGTCCAGTTGCATAAAATCAAACTAGAAATCGCTGTTTTGAACATTTAGCACCAAGTGGTCCTCCATTGAACATCAAAGCAACATCAAGAAATGCATCTTCGTTGCTTCTTGTCTGGGATCCTCCGGAGAAAAATAAACAAAATGGCAACATTACAAGTTATACTGCGTGCCTTTCACATTCAAAAAATGGATCTTGCTTTCATACATTCATCACAAGTGAAAGAGAGTGGCTTTTAGGGAATCTTAGTCCAGCAACAAAATATTATTTTAGTGTTCTGGCCAGTAACAAAGTTGGAAGCGGTAACTACAGCAATAGGAAAGGAATTTTTACGAATGGACGTAAGTAGAACAAATCACATAACAACCATTATATAGTAAAACTTTCATCCTCTCTCGGTGCGGAAATCCTGGGCGCACATTCGCCGGGCATCGTCTGTTCTATCCCCCAAAGATTTTTAGATCATACGTAAATATTACAAAAAGAAATATTGAAATCTTAATGCCACGTTGTAATGTTTGCTTATATTTTATTTCTTTGTTCAACCGAATATCATACAATGTTATACTCGCACTTTTCTATTGTTCCTCTCTCGAAGTCCCCTAATTAAGATAATGTCAATCATGTCTATAAATAACTATATTACACACGTCTAAATATACATCACAATTGAGCTGAACATTAAACGCACGAAGAATCCCAGTCAGTAAGAAAGCCGTGTTACAATATTTGTATATCCCGAGGTGTGAAACCCAGAATCGTGGTTGGAGTGGATGAATAGCTTTATTACTTAATTTCGGTTGAAAAAGTTATATTGAAGATAATTAGGAAAGTTATTTCTCATGTCGTCTTATTTTAAACCTAATCTGCCGCCAGGGCAGTAGCTGGAAGCTTAATTGGGGGAGAGTATAAATTATATTCATATATCAGGGCTACGACCATGTCTTTCGTTCCCTGTTTGCACCAAGAGTCCTTCATAAATATCAGGGAAAGCAGAGCGCGAAAACTTAAATATGAGTGTTCAAACTATCGACGTATCGTTGCTATCTAGACTGTATATCTTGTTCTAAAAACATAATGCGACTTCGGCAGGTTTTACTTAACAGAAATTTTAACGTGTTGTCATAGGAGCAGTGAAGAAGGCGATTGGAGCAACACCAAATACACTTACCTTTTCTTTGGAAATTCCTACAATAACGTTCAAGTAAGTATTCGATCAATTGAGAATGACCGGCGAAAAATGGGGGGGGGAGGGGAAAACACCTGGGGACTGATACTCCGCGTAAAAGGTTCCCATCGTGGTTCGATCGCCTTGCATGCACAAGGTTTAACAAAGCAAGTGCAAAATATTGTTGTTTGTCCAGGAGGAAAGCAAGAGTCAACAATGTTAGTGGCTCTCGCCGGCAAGTGAGTTCTGAATCCTACTGAGTAGTGAGGTCGCTGTCTCCCTGACCTAAACCAGCACACATCAATGTATGCAGTAAATAAATACAAAGTATGAATTAATATTAGGCGTTTCTATGTGGTGACTTGGAAAGTGAAAGACGACGAGAAGCCTTTATCATCTGACCGCTACGAGAACAATGAATTAGTGATGTTTGCCGAAGCTGAAAACTCAACCAATCCACAACCGTATATCGCCGCAGTATTCTCGTCCAGCAATATTATGGAAAACATGTTTGTACTTGGTGATGGCAGAAGTACAAGCGATTCAACTAGTTATTCTTCGGGTTTCAAAGAATATTTTAATGCTCCGCTGGAGCCTGGCACTCGTTACAGTATTTTTCAAAGGATTATAATCAATGACAAGGTATTTACATATTGTTTAACCCACGCGAGTCTGTCTCGCCGAGACATATTTTTGATAAGGAGTTAGCAATTCTATTTCTGACTCTGAAATTCTGGGCCGGTGTTGAATTTCACAGGAAGAACTGAAATGTACATTGCTCTAGACAGTTTTTCGGATTGTGGGGCGAAGAATATATTTATAAATTATATTCGTCTTATGCCCGGCTTCTTATGTACACTATTGTTCTTACGGTTTATAAACATGAATATATCAATATACACCCCTCCTCCCAAAATTAAGAGGTCTAGCTGCGGCTCTGACGGTACCCAGGGTCGTAGCTAGAAGTTTAATTGGAGGGTGATGTATTTGACAAACAGATATCATCGAACCGTTGTGTGTTCAGTTATGGATGCACGGTATGACGTCATTTGGAATAAGAACAAAAAAGTGGCCACGACCACTGAGCTATACTATAATTCCTGAAGGACGTGCTCTTGGCCAGAAAGTGATGTAAGAAAGATGTCGGATTTTGAGCTTTGCCGACGCCACTTGGTTCCTTTGCTCATGGCAGTTTCCACCGACATACCGCGATAAAAAGTGAAAAGTTGGTCCCTCCCCCTCCTGGATTCGATGAAAAAATTTTTTCGGAAATATTTTTGCATCTCATTTTTGTTTTTTTTTCTTCTGTTCAAAAAATTGAACGAGGAAGTGGCTTCTTGCTCAACCTGTACTAGAAAAATATGAGACCGAGGTCTTGACAGTACGGAACGAACGATAGCGAGGTCCGTACATAAAAAACGAGGTCTGATGTTTTTCCAGTACGAACAGAACGTATTCGGTTAATAAGGGATTTATTATATGGCATACAGTATTTATTAGTTTATTTATTTATAGAATGCGCTGCAGCATTAATTCTTGCCGGCTCTTTCGCTAGCCAGTCGCCAAGCAAACACTGAAGTGGTTTCGAAAACTTTGTTTTTTACTCGTTAAATAAGAATGATACAGTAATATACTGTAAACAAAAATCAAAGATGAATAAATATAAGTCCTCCAGGATTTTAATATAGCTCAGTGATCACTTTATGTTCTCATCCTATAGATCTCATGATCTATAGGATTAAAGAAATGCTCTTGGATAGTTAAAGACACGTGCTAAAATGTGATTGGCTAAAAAAAACAAGCGATGACTCGTTAAGTTTGTTACAATTCTGTTACAATTCTCTCAGGCTGTTTACAAACCTCTTCTCTTCTTTATTCCAGGGTGATTATTACTCGACTGACTGGAGTCCTGTTTCACAAACGACAAATCATCCAGGTATATATACCTCTACATTGAATATACCACAGCAAAAAGTCATTCTCTCATGGAGAAAATGTATCTTATCTTTTTTCTTCTGCCAAGGAAAATTTTCTTATACAAAGAAGTTTTTTCAAACTCTAGGATATAAAATCTCGTTTAGAAAGTAATTTCTTAAAATAAGAAATTATTCAGCCAACAGATTTACAGATTTTGACACAAGAAATTTTGTTCTTATAATTGGAAATATTTTTCTTCAACGGAGTAAATTATTTCTTGATAAAAGAAAGATTATCTTAATTTCGGATATTCTCATTATGAGAAAATTAATATTCAAAATCCCAAATAGTTTTTAAAATAGAAAAACTCCTCTATATTTGTTTTAAGAAAATAATTTCTTGGAATAAAGATAAAAAAGGGATAAATTGGGTATAGTAAGGAATCACCATACAACAGATTTTTTATTCTTTACTATGAAAAAATAATGACCGCCACCTTAACAAATTACATTTGGCTAAGTCCTATGTACAAACCATTTCTACAATATAGAAGCTCTTTGGAAACGGATTTCATCACAAGAAAATTGTATCGCTTTTTGCCATTCAACATAGGTTGGCCTGATAATTGCATTAAAATCACCACCTTTAATATCCATGTATAATGCTATTTGATATACTAAAAGTAAGACTTGCAATGCAAAAGCCAGATTTCAGTTGATTTTTGTATCTTGTGCCTTGTATGTCCCGTATACACAAGGGAGAAATTGCGTTGTTATGGAATAAATAATCAAATATACACATTGAAAATATTGACCTTTATAGACAAATGAATCTCATATTATGCTTGTTTCCAAATACTTAGAGTGTCATCTTATATTATAGTGAGTATAGTGTTTGTACATACATACATACATTGTTCGTCTGTAGACGTACGTACATGTATTGTTCGTTTTACATGACAAGTTTGGTAAGAAAATAATTTGTGTCATACTTGTCAGAAATGTAGCAATGACGACATTTGTGAAATAAAAATCCGAAGCACATAAAACAACCTTGCCAAAGACTCCCTGTTCTTTTCCACAAGCTGGAAACAAGTATAGCGAGTTCTTGGGATGAGGTTTTATCCTGACCTGTTCACTTGGACAAAAATAATGCGAATTTCTAGCTTCAGAATGCACTTTTTAACATGATTGCAAAACGAATGATACCTTCTAAGCGTCGCAGGGAAATCGTCGATTCCACAGCGGACAGAAAAGCTTACGTCGCTGCCATGTAGTAATGATTCATAAGAACACGAAGAATTAATGCTACGAAAACAGTGCACAACGAACATTTCCAAACAGTATTTAAGCCCCTTTACTGTCCATTTTTAATTTAGCACAAAACAAAACGATTTTTATGTTTTTATATTACCAAGGAAAAGAGATGAGAATTAAGATAGAGTAAGTAAAAGATCTATTATTTATCTTTCTATTAGTATTATTGACAAACGACAAATCTTTCCGGTATATCCTCAACATTGGCTACAACGCGTAAATTAACTTTTTATGCAGAAGATTATAATAATAATAATAATAATAATAATAATAATAATAATTTTTTTCTTATACAAAGAAATTTTTTCTAACTCTCGGATATAAAATCTCATATATAGGGCCCACATATTTTGATGCAAGAAATTTTAACCTAAATTAACGACAAATCATCCAGATATCTGCCTGTACATATACCATATTTGCAAAAATATTTTACCAAAGGTGTTTAAACAGCTGCATGTTTTGTCGATAAAAAGTCGCCAACTAGTGCTTGTCTTCACGAGCCTGCAGTATAAAAGGAATAGGTATGAAATGCAAACAATCGAATACAAATAAATTTAGAGAGTTCCTCTTCTGCTTCAAAATCAGGCTTGAACCTTGCGCAATCTTTATGAATATTTATTTCCATGTTGAATATAGCAATATTGATTTATATATAGATCCAGAAACAAAATAACACGCTGGCAGCAATAACTACAGCAAAAGTGAAGGAATTTTAACGAATGGAGATAAGTAGAACAAATAACTTATTTGATTCAATCTTTAGTGTATGATTGTTCAGATAACAATAATTTAATCTTGTACTAAAACTTTCAACCTCCCTCGGTGCGTAAATCCCGGACACACCTGTTACACATATCATTTTAGTCACTCAGTTCAGTAGATTAAATAATAATATTTTATAAAATTACAACTCTTTTATACATTTCTACTATCTGAGCCCGCATTACCCATTATGATTAATACTTCTTGTTACATCCCTTCTTCTTTAAAATAAAGATGGAATATTATACAATTTTTTTCCCGTTTTTTCCCAGTTGGTAATTGTTTTTTTTTTAATATTTCCTTTGCAGTTGTAGTCTTGAAATTTTTTACATCAAATATAACTTCTCGATAGCTTTAATTTGACACACAGCCCAACGTCTGGCATCAAGTATTTCGTCTCAAAACTCAGAAAAACTATTTTGGCTGCAAGCTGAATAGGGATATTTGTCAGGAGTTATCGTTTCAGTTGTATAGAGTTCACTGGGCAGAACTGATTATATGAATAAACACCACCCAATTATCGTTCTAGTTATGCCCCTGATAGAACTACAAGAACTATGTACATTACAGGGAACGTTCGTTTTTTAGCTGAGAAGGAAGATATTTGTAGCCTAAAGCGTGAATAAATTCCCCGAGTGGAGACCCAGCTGCTGTGAATATTTTCTATGAGAATAAAATATCTGTATAAGACATACGAATGGGAGAGCTTTGTTTTGTTAACTAATAAAACGTGGTGTCTTTAATAAACGAACACGCAACTATATTGATCTGTAAGCAAACTAATATCAAGTGTTAAAATAGGATATTATGACTTAGAAAGTGTCTGGTGCACACAAGTACATATCTGCTTGATATTTAATCATAGATGCTGTTGCCAGCATTTATTGTAATTTGTATAGATTTGTAATCATTTGTAAACCGTTAACCATTTTATTACATATCTCACTCAGTTGTTGAATTTTCTAATTTTCTGTATCTGTGGTTGTTAACGTTCTTATATTACGCGCAGTCAATGAGTGCAAAAGTTTTCTGGTGTGATATTACCTGGAGGTAATTACAACAAGAACCAGGGTTGCCAGATTGGTTGAACAAATTAGCTGAATCATTATTTCAGTCTCTATGACTTGATTACCTGCATTTTGGGCTTGCTGAGGAGTTCTTTCCGCTGGAATGAGTTTGTCAGAATATAATTTCTTTCTTCTGAACAATGCGTTTATTTTTTATTGAATGTCGTCACTTCATTATTATTAACCGCTGAATTTATCTCCATGGATATGGATTACCATTACTATAACACATGCAAGGTAAATTTGTTTTCTGAAAGACAGAACGTGTAATTTCATCTGTCGCTTCGATAAGCGTCGTTTTCATATGTCACCGACAGTCGGCGATGATAGGTGGTGGCTGGTGACGAATTTTGTTTAAAATAAGAAAGCCCTTTATTCTCCTGCATTCACCAACAATAAACATCGACCTGGCTTATAAACCTGGCCTTCTTCTTAACCACCGACAGTCAGCGATGATAGGTGGTGGCTGGTGACGAATTTTGTTTAGAATAAGAAAGCCCTTTATTCTCCTGCATTCACCAACAATAAACATCGACCTGGCTTATAAACCTGGCCTTCTTCTTAACCACCGACAGTTGGCGATGTATTGTTGATAACCAATGATCAAGAAAATTTATGGAAAATAACACAGCACTTTATTCTCCAGTGATCTCTGGCAATATCCTTCGCCATTTGTCGATGACTTATGAAAACCAGGCTTCAAGCCTAGTTCACTGGTTCTCGTATGTCACCGATAGTCCGCCATATATCTTTATTGGTGGCCATGACCATGCAGTAAGTGAAGCCTCGTTTACACGACAAGCATTTTTGGCCAGGCACACTTAATTCTTTGCACGCTGGCGGAAAATGGCACGGCACTTTTAAATTTTATCCTGTAAACCGACATAATATACAGTAAGTCCACAGACTAGTAATTTTATCCGTGCGGAGACCGCTTTAAAAGATGTTCTCGACCTGTCAAAGCATGGACACCGTGCCGAAAATATTGAGTTGCATCAGCAATTTTGAATCGGATTTGAGCGAGGGTCGGCCTCGAATGTTCTTTGAATTCATCAGCAATTTTTATAGTTGATCATGCGCAGTTAAAATAATTACTGCAAAATGGTGGGAAAGAACAGCAGGAAAAGCTCTGGTTGGATACGAAAACAAATGCTTTAATAGAAGCCTAAGGTACTGAAGTCATTTAACAAGTTATAAAATGCAAAAATACCGACACTATAACACGAAGTAAAAAGATTCGTTTTTTTTCGAAGTACACGAAGTAAAAAGATTCGATAAATTTTTTAGAAGGCTTTATGGCATGATTACCAGATGATCTAACAAGTTGTTTTTTTTCCTTTATTTTGTCAAGTAAATCATGTCCATTTGCTTCAATTGATGCATGTCAGCTTTGTTAATCTGCTGACTTAAATAGTAACTGTGGTGTGGCTATGGGCGCTAAAAATATTCAATTGGGTGCTTTCTAAACTTTTGTGGTATTCAGGCCTAAAAAGAAAGATAATGCGTAAACAGGCTTAGTTACGGAGCTAATTTGTTTTGGCCTGCCTTGAAAAAATTAAGCGTGTCGTACCAAAAATTTTTGTTCTATAAACGGGGCTAAGTAACTGGAGTTTCTCTACTGATATTCTGATATTGATTAAATTTCACATAAAGGCTTTTTTTACTAATCCTGTATTCAATTGGTAACTGCACATTTATGTTTCTGGAACTAAACAAATAGCTTTGGAACAGCACATTTAGGGGCTGTTTACATGAGCCCGGTTACCCGAGGTTCAACGAAGCGTCTTTTGAGGTATTGAAATGAGCAGATAACATGATCCTGGCAGTCGTATAATCACCACAACAATAGCATGTGCTTGTTTGGTTTCATAAAGACTTATTTCAATACCTCAAAGTCCTCTCACGCTTCGTTGAATCTCGGGTAACCGGGCTCATGTAAACAGCCTCTTAGTGAAGATCTGCACGGTAGAAAATCTCTGGTCACTTCCATACGAAGAGGACCCTAGCTTTCAATGAGGAAGATCTCGCCGACACAAAACAAAATTAGTAATAAGGAATATTAACAAAGAAAATTAGACTATAACACAATTAGACTGGTTCTGCAGAGTGGTTTAGAAAACTGCAACTGGCGTAATTTATCACTAATTGATCCAAACGGCAAAGGGTGGGTGAACACAATCCATGCTTGGATATTCTTTAATTAAACTTTGTGTGGTTTATTTTAATGTCAAATACGTCAAATATTAGAAGCATAATTAATCGCACGGATATTGAATTGCTCTCTGCAATATCAACTTATGCAAATTATAGTGTTTTAGACACACCCTGTATGCATGACTTGAGTTCATTAAATAACCAGCAGGATATCGTCTCAGTGTTTGGTGTATTCTTGTTCGCTAGGTTTGTGTACATTTCGTAGCGTCTATTTGTTTTTTTTTTCTGACTTAAATCACGTTGGATTATGGCGACGTAGTTGGATTATCGGTTCCAATAATTTATAAAGGTACGTTCTTGTTTCTTTCTTGAAGATTATAAATCATTTTTCTTCGCTATCAGCGAGGTATGCTAGACACGACACAGCGCTCTGGCGTCATGTTAAAACGTTTACAAAAACCTTGAATAAAATCCAAAATCTTGCTCCGAAATATCCTCTATTCGTCTTACTATAGCATATCATGTTGGTTTTCAATGATTAACCGATTGGCTTCAGCAAATTTGTCTTTTATAACTGTAGTAAAAGTGAATTGTTGTTAAGGCTCTGAGATTAGGTCATAGGGTGTCATTTATGGTAGTAATTGGCACCAAGTTATAAATTGTTTTATCAGAGGACCGTATCAACCATCAAGTTTCGTGTTTATGTGTCACCAGTTTTAAATCTGTTTATTCCACTGTCAAATTGACTCCTTTCCTTCCTCAGAGGCTTTCAACTAAGAATTTATAGTCTGTTCTCTACATCACAAGAACAAAGCTGTCTGAAAGATTTAAAACTGAAAAAGAAGGAGAAACTAGGTAAGTGGATTAGTTTGAAATGAGTTTTGAAACTGTAACATGACTAAAGCGCATCTGTGCTTTGTTAATCTGCTGACTTATATAGCAACTGCGGTGTGGTTATGGGCGCCAAAAATATTCTATTGGGTGCTTTCTAAAATTTTGTGGTATTCAGGTCTAAAAAGAAAAATAACGCGTAAACAGGCTTAGTTACGGACCCAATTTCTTTTGACCTGCCTTGAAAAAATTGAGCGTGCCTTACCAAAATATTTGTTCTATAAACGGGGCTAAGTGAATGGAGTTTCTCTGCATGGGTTCTTGCCTTGGTCCGCTACTGATATTCTGATATTGATTAAAATTCACATAAAGGCTTTTTTCACTAATCCTGTATTCAATTGGTAACTGCACATTTATGTTTCTGGGACTACACAAATATTTTTGGAACAGCACATTTAGTGTAGATCTGCACAATAGAAAATCTCTGGTCACTTCCATACGAGGAAGATCCTAGCTTCAATGAGGAAGATCTCGCCGACACAAGACAAAATCAGTAATAAGGAATATTAACAAAGAAAATTAGACAATAACACAATTAGACTGGTTCTGTAGAGTGTTTTAGAAAACTGCAACTGGCGTAATTTATCACTAATTGATCCAAACGGTAAAGGGTGCGTGAACACAATCCATGCTTGGATATTCCGTAATTGAACTTTGTGTGGTTATTCTAATGTCAAATACATCAAATATCACAAGCATATTTAGTCGCATGGATATTGAAATGCTCTCTGCGATATCAACTTATGCAAATTATAGTGTTTTTGATACACTCTGTATGCATGACTTGAGTTTATTATCCGAAATATCCTTTATTCGTCTTATTATAGCATATCATGTTGGTTGTCAATAATGAGCCGATTGGCTTCAGCAAATTTGTCTTTTATATTTGTAGACGAAGTAAAAGTGAATTGTGTTAGGGCTCAGATATTTAACAGTTATTCTGCGAACTCGAGTCGTATATGAGCTGATAGCCAACGAAAGAGAGCAGAATAACTGTTTTATTATATACACAAACTTTGTCGCCCTTTCGGTGCATTTTGGTGTGCTATTATCAACTAAAGCTTGGATTTTTATTTCACTAAACTCCCCAAATCTTTCAGCCATTTTGTTTACTTTCTCTACTAGACAGATATGAGCTAATATCTGTCTAGTAGCCAACCAATGAAATTGCAGCATACCTCATATCTTGCGCTTGTGTATATAATAATAGGTAAGCGCCTTCGAATCGTTTTTATGTTTTAATTCCTTGCATAAATTTATCACCAGCTCAATGTTGTCTTCAGAAGTTCATTTCAGCTGATATTTATATTGGAGCAGCAATAACCTAATATTAACATATAATTTAAGTTCAAAGTGAAATATCTAAAAAACTACTGATAAATATTGAATGAAAAGTATTTCACATGAAATTATTTGATCATCGAGCACTAGAAAGTGTTGGGATCATCAGCAAGTATCGTTTACTCATGTGAGATTTTCGAGTGTCAACGTTCCTCTTAAAAAGGCATGTGTTAATATGTTTGTGTGGGTGCATGGATATTATTGACAATGGTTAATTTTTTTTGAATTGGTTTTTTCAGTAAAATATCGTTAGTTTATATTTAAAGTACTTGGTGTTGAACTCAATGTTTGAAGTCAACGTTAGTTGTGGTTTTACCAGGTTTCAAAATATATATCAGAGATCTCGACACAAGATGAAATCTGGGGCCGGTTGTATCAAGCCCGTTTAGCTTAAACGGTGGATAAGTTCAAAATAGAATTCTAGCAATCGCAAAGGCAATATCACATTTAGTTAACAATCAATT